AGGGGTCACTGGCGGTTGAAGATAATTTAGTAAGGTGTGTGTGTATGTGACTGTGTGCATAGTGTAGCAAAGCATTTAATTAATTTTTTTACTTTTCGAACTACTTTCAAAAGAAACATTAACTCGCAACCTAAACTATTGCTCGATGTATAATATGGATATAAAGCCGGCTTTCCGTGACGATCCGCTTAGGTGAAACCTTGGTAGATTAGTCTGGCTCTCTAGGTTTAACTAGGTCTGCTCTACTCATTGTATTGAGCAATTTATTTAGTTATTTTGCGTACTCGCATCGGGTTTTTTTTTTCTTTGGGCCTTCAACTCGTATGCTGGACGATTATTTTCGGTTAACGGACATCTTCTTGGTTCTTTCTTTTTTTATACCTTTTTTCCCTTTGGTATTGGCTTGTTTATTTGCAAATCAATACACCGAAGGCTTTTCCGAGCAGTATAGTTTCTTATACTTATAAGATTTCAATTAATATAATAATTAAATATATATATATATATATATATATATATATATATATATATATGTATGTATGTATGTATATATGTGCATGTGTGTATATGTGTGTGTGTGTGTGAGTAAGTATTTGTTTTTATGTATATGTGTGAAACGACAGCCTGTTGCACATATGCATACGTCCATATACGACACGACACCATTAACTGGAAGACGAGATATTTATAAAAAATACCCGCTATGTCACCCAGCGATACGTTACGACGCAAGATTCAAAAATAAATAAAATTTATCTATGTATAATCGTCCATTTTGGAACGTAATACTTGACAAAGAAACTAGTTAGCAATTTTCGATTTTTAAATTTTAGAAAATTTTTGCTTTATCGGTAACTCTATAAAAAATAAATTTTCAATTGCTATGCTTAAAATTAAGAATGTTTTAACGCACTGCTCGAGTATTACGTATGCCATAATCGAATTTTGGTATATAAAAGTTTTAGCACATTAATCGAAAACACATTAATCGAGGGATTCCTGTATTTATATAACGACCGGATACATGTGTGCAAATTCGCCCCTTTGCTAGTGTGGAGAGTCAATACTCAATCACATTTACGCTTGTTTAAAACCCCGGAGCGCATCAGTGTTTTCTACTGCAATTAAATTGAGCTGACATTTGTTGAGCTCAAAACTCGGTCACGATGACTTGTGACTTCGTGTTAACAATTCAGCTAATAAAACTTAGGTCATGGCGTGACTTTCAGTGACTCTTCCAAGGCAACCTAGGCTGTAAACGCTTTCTCACGCTGTTAGCATCAAGAAATCACCCGCTCTTGACAAATCTCACATGGCAAGTCTTACGGTCGGAAAGCGAACGTCTTAACCTCTCGGCCATGGGTCCCTCTCTATATAAATTAATAGATAAATGGTAATTTATTTTGATTACATTTATAACGGTGAACAAATGTCTAGATAGGTATAATAAATAATTTTCACATTGGTGAAAGCCACAACAAAATTTTTTGTAGATACATATAAAAAATAAAAATAAATAAATAAAAAGTGAAAATTTCAGTTGTAAAAAAAATAATTTTGAAAATTTACTTAGCGTTTATGAAATAAGTGGATACGGAAGTCAACAGCCAGAGGCGACAGTCTGTTTCATGCCGCCAGTGGTGTTGACTTCAATGTTCACTTTTATCTTTACATACACTCTATGCCTGACATTGAGCAATTTAACCCATAATATAGCACACATTAAAACTATATTTATATATATATATATATATATATATATATATATATATATATATATATATATATATATATATATGTATGTGTGTGTGTGTGTGTGTGTGGAAAAATAGGAAAGAACACGTTAGGTAAATAATCCAGGGTTCTTTTTTTTTTTTTTGTTTTTATTTTTAAAAACAGTGCTCCATACACAAGTAGAGCTTAGATTATAATTATTTTTTTAAAAATATGATTCCTTCGCTACATAAGAGTTCTCATGTTTCAAAAACGAGAGCCGGAACCATTCAATATAATTATTAAAATTAAATTGAATTAAAGTAAAAAGCCCTGTTTCATCCTCAAGCGGATCGTCAGGGAAGGCTGGCTAGAAAGGTGAAAAAGAACAAAATATTTATAGTCAATAAACAAAAAAAAAAAACATAACTTTTAACTCGTATGCTGGACGATTATTTTCGGCTAACGTACATGTTATTGGTTCTTTCTTTTTTTTTATACCTTTTTTTTCCCTTTGGTATTGGCTTGTTTATTTGCAAATCAAGACACCGAAGGTTTTCCGAGCGAGTATAGTTTCTTATACTTATAAGATTACTACTAATACTAATAATATATATATATATATATATATATATATATATATATATATATATATATATATATGTCTGTATTTCGTAAATGTAATATTCAAAATGCTTTTAGTTTCTAATGCGACTTGCTATTCATTCTACTGATAGGAAATGTAAGTCATATGCAGTTAATTTATGAAAAGATTTTTTTCAACAGAAAAAAAAGTCCAGTTTTATATGACCACACCTCTTGTATTTCGCTGATACTACGAATAGTTTTGAAAATTGATTCCTAAATTCTTTTTGCAGAAAAGCAATCTCATTCCTTTTATATTTAACTTTATTTTATATTTACTGTTTTTATTTTTATTCCAATTGTGTGCATGCGTGTGCTTTCATCTTAGGCTGAAAGCATCGTTTTGCCAATGCCTGCAGGAAGAAAATGCATGTATCGTCGTTACACTAAACGCGCAGATACTCTGATATACTGGCTAAATAATGCTCCAGTCCATTTCATTTCAGATGACAGTGATATTTTACAGAAAATTTCAGAGAAAAAAAATATCCAGACATTCCAATATTATACACATATACTATTCTTTCACGAAGTGTTACCTTAATTCCAGGAGAACGGACGGACTGTTTTTCTTATATCCAACCCAATTTGACAATAAAATAATCTGAACTGATTATTTATCGTATCAGGTCATCCCATAAGTTCTGTCCAAATTTTAACTTTTTGTTAAAATGAACGAAATTTAAAGAGTATTTTATAATGTCTAATGGAGCTGAACATTATTTTTATGTTTAGATGCATTTAAACTGATCAAATTTTATTTCAGAGAAAAATAAAATAAAATTCTGTTTGATTAAAACCCTGCTAACATGGAAGTACCCAAAAATCATTTGAGGCACATAATGCTTTATGAGTTCAAGAAAGGAAACTCAGCAGCCGAAGCGGCTACAAACATTCACTCCTTTTATGGAGAGGAATGTGTGAATGAAAGAACTTGCAGAAGATGGTTTGCAACATTCAGAGGTGGAGATTTCACCCTTGAAGATGAAGATCGAACTGGACGTCCAGTTGAGTTTGATGAAAAGCTTCTTGAAGCAGCCATTGAAGAAAATCCTGCTTTATCAGTTGAGGAATTGGTAGTGGTTCTCAGTTCAAACCATACAACTGTTCATCATCTTCAACAACTTGGAAAAGTTCCCAAACTTGGAAAATGGGTGCCTCATGAATTGTCTGAAAACAACCTCAAATCGAGTTGACATCTGCTCTTCTCTCCATTCTCGCCAACTTGTTTCACCTTTTTGGATAGACTTGTGACTGGCGACGAAAAATGGATCTTTTATCGAAATGTTAAGCGTCGTAGACAGTGGCTTGGTAAAGGGGAAGGACCCCAGCCACAGCCGAGAAGGAAATATCATGGGCAAAAGGTTCTTCTTTCAATCTGGTGGGATCGCCAAGGAATTATCTTCTTTGAATTCTTACCACCTAATGCAACAATTAATGCTCAATACTGTCAGCAATTAGAGCGTTTGAACCAAGCTTTGAGGAAAAAAAGACCTGCTCTAGTGAATCGAAAAGGGGTGATGTCTCATCAGGACAATGCGCGACCGCACACAGCAAGAATCACGCCACAAAAGATCGAAGAACTTGGTTGGGAGAAAATTCCTCATCCACCTTATTCTACAGATCTTGCTCCTTCAGACTACCATTTGTTTCGTATCTTACAGAATCATTTGGAAGAAACAGCTTTTGTAACACAGGAAGAGGTTAAAACTGATATTTGTGAGTTCTTCGAATCAAAGCCAAAAGAATTTTACAGTAATGGAATTAGTAAGCTTGTTAATAGATGGAAGTAAGTCAGATAATCAGGGAAAATACATTGTTGATTGAATCTGTAATTAAATGTAGCATTTGGTCACTTGTTTTTTTATTCAAAATTCGAACAGAACTTATGGGATGACCTGGTAGAATTATTCATATTGTATATACCTTTCTCAATGTGATAGACCATTAGAGGAGAAACAGGTCCTTTTGAAGACTAGATAACCACTATCAAGTATTGAAATGGTAGGGATGCGTAATAGCCGATATTCTTAACCCTACCTGTGATAGAAGACGATGAAGTGGCGGCAAACATATACAGAGAACGGGTAGACTGGTTGCCAACAAAGGCTATAAGATCCGCATTGTCCTTCTTTTTAACCGTTAACTTGTGCGGAGAAGAGATGGATTCATACCTTTCCCAATTCTATTTTGCGCCTAAGTGAAGGTAACGAACACGACTGGTATTCGAACACATCTCTCGAATTTCTCTTTTTTCGCCGTTATCAATTACACCTCCCGCACATCGAAGCCTAGTATTTCCAAGTGGTCGCCCATCTAGATACTGACCAGGCTCGACGTTGTTTAACTTCGAGAAACGGTGTTTTAACGCGATATACAACCGAAACAGGACCCCGTTTCTCCCTTGTCATGCATTTTATGAGGTTTGAAATGATTCGGCTCTTCACCAGGCATATAAGACTTTCTCAATCGGTAGAGTTCCTCCAACAGCTCAAGCCATTCACCGGAGTCAAGAGATTGGAAGACTGTTTTTTGACGGTAGAGAAAAGAAAGTTAATATACTGAACCCAACAAGAAGTGGAACTCGGAATTCCCATTAACAATTTCGACTCGTTATCCTTTACGCCACCAGCATATCCAAGCTTACAGCACCTGGTATTTCCAAGCGGTCACCCATCTAGGTACTAACCCGGTGCAATGTTGCTTAACTTCGGTGGTCTTACGGCAACCGGTGTGGCCGTAAGCCTTTACAATGAATTATTTTAGTGAATATTTCTGTCATACAACATGGAACATATTATTAATATATTAATCGGTCATTCAGACTGATCTCCCCTAATTTCGGGTTCAAATAATAATAATTGAATTTATAATAAACCCAATAACTTTAATAAAACATGCTGAGACTCCCCAAAAACTGAACCCAAGATTTTTTTTATTTCTAAATTAAACGTTTAAAATTTGTTAAACATTTTTCCAAGCAAATTTTGGTGATTTTTCTTTAACAACTTCAGACGGATTACATATATATATATATATATATATATATATATATATATATATATATATATATATATATATATCGAAGTTGTTTTGTTTTCTTTCATTATTTTTTTTTTAATAGAAGTAGATAAGCTCTCCTATCCCCCGGTCCATACCCCCTGCTTCTCTTGAACAGGAGTAGAGGCTCATCCTTTGTTTCCTGTTATGGAAGGAGCTCCCAGTTCCTTTCCCTTTCTGAAGCCTAAATAGTGGTGCTGCCATGATTTTGGGTCATATGCGTTAATAGTGGCAACGTCTTTTCATACTGAGGATACCGGTTTGGCAGTTTCTGGTTGCTATTCCCGACTTGTGGTTAGGAAGCCAAGCTCTTGCGTAGGGACTTGAGAAGCTGCTGTGATCAGCAGTCACATAATATCGGGGTTCTTGCAGTGCCATGTCGCGCATGGAAGAGTGCCATTGCAAGAACCTCCGTTTGGCAACCCCGAGGCCATATTATGTTACAGTATGCACCAGTGCCCTTCCTGAACATGTTACATTAGACGTCCGACTGACTACTAACCTGGGCCTTTCGTTATCAGTATATCACAGCGTGACTATAAACAACCAAAGATATAAACCTAAACCAGCTCAACAAAAAATACCTAAACCCCTTAACATTTCTTTCACCAACATTCGTGGTATTCGTGCCAAATTCTGCAGTGTGGAATCGTTCTCCGAACATTCTAGCTCTCTGTGAAACTAATCTTAACTCTTCAATCCTTTTCTCTGATTTGTCGATTCCTACCTATCTTCTTCTCCTTAGAAAGGACTCTAAAGTCCACCTGCACGGACTAGGAGTTGATGTTCACAAACATCTGCCCCTGGCTAGGGAACTCTCTCTTGAATCTTTACACCATTCGTACATGTATCTCCGTCTCTCTCTACTTAACCGAGTCAGCTCTTTCTCACCGCGTAGCTACCTCTCAAGTCTGTTGCGCGCTGGATAGAATTCCCGATAATATAGACAAGGCCATCTCCCTACACCCGTTTTCAAATATGTTTGTGTTCGGTGACTTTAATACCCACCATACCAGGAGGCGTAAATGCTCTGTCACTGACCACGCTGGCATCCAAACACTTCTCAATCACAATGCAAGTGAGTGACTTCCACACGCGTTTCACCAGTAACCCTGACGGACACACTTCTGTTCTCGAGTTATTTTTATCTCTGTCCCTGACGCTTGTAATACGTAACTCTGCCCTCTTGGCAACTCTGATCCTGCGGTAGTGTCTGTAAACATCTCCTTCCGCTACACCAGCCAATAACCTGCTACCAACAGAATGTCTTCCTGTTAGCAACGGGCAGATTGGGACTAGCTTCGTGATTTCTTTCGTTACGTCTCTTGGAATGAAGTTTTTAATCATCTTGTTCAAAATGCGCATCTGAGGTTTCCTCCGACGTGAAAGCGCGCATCGATGCTCTCATTGCAGCAAAGAAATACGAAGTTAAACAGCGTTCATCTCCTTGGTTCTCACCTGCATGTTCGGCCGCTATAACCCAAAGGAATCACTTCTTCCGGCTGCACCAGAGCGACACGTCTGATTGTAACAGACGCCTCTTTGTCTCTGCTCGTAAAGCGTGCAAATCCTTAATGAACCGAAGTTACTCTTTGCCGATAGAATGAAACAAAGTAAGGTATCTCGGAAATTCGGTTCTAGAGATTATTGGCGGCTCTGCAAGAGTGTGCTGAACAACAGCAAATACTCGGTTCCTTCTCAATTCAATCAATTCGAAGTCCTGATATCTACAGCAGATAAGGTTAAATGCTTTGCTCGGAAATTCTCTTCCAACTCAATACTCGACTCATTGTAGCACCCACACGTGATCCACCTTAGAAATGAGGTTCTACTGAGTGATAAGCGCATAACTCCGTCACTGGTCTCGCACATCATTTCAAATTAGACTCCCATAAGGCAAGTGGAGGTGACAGGATACCAGCCGTCGTCCTAAAGAAATTTGTTCCCGTAATGGCCCCAGTTCTCTCCAAACTCAACAACTATTGTCTCGTTGCTTCCTGCTTTCCAGCTTATTAGAAATTCTCCTCTGTAGTTCCTGTTTTTAAGAACTGCGGAGAACCTTCTGAATCCTCGAACTATCGCTCTATTAGTCTCCTACCCCTTTCGGCAAAGTATTCGAGGCTTTAATAAATGCTGAAGTGGTTATGCATCTTACCTCTCACAACCTACTCTCTGACAAAAAAAATATTTCCCCCGTTTTGTCCCGTCTACCGCTGACGTGCTTACGGCCATCGCTGAATATATGTATCAAGCTCTTGATAATAACAGCGAAGCTCGTTCCACGACTCTAGATATCTCAAATACGTTTGACAGGAATGCTAGTCTTCTACGTAAGCTTCAGGGCTACGGTATTACAAAGCGATTGTTTGATTTAATCCAATTATTGCTATCAAAGCGGGAATGAAGATCGTTCTGAACGGGCTCGCTTCCAGAACTTTTCACACGAATGCGGATGTCCCCCAAGGAATTATCTTGGGTCCTACGCTGTTTCTGATCTTCATCAATGATCTTATGGATGTCATAAGTTCCAAAGTAGGCATTTATATAGAAGGCACTAACATTTACTTCTGTCTCAATAGCAAATCCGTTAGAGCTGACAAAGTGTTGTGGTAGGATCTACCTAATTTGCATAGTGGAGTACCGACCATATAAATATGGTTGGTACCGGGAAGAGAGGGAGGAATCAAGAGATTCAACTCGAGACTCTGCCCGACTGCGACTCAGTCAATACATTCTCCAGGAACGGTCTTACCAGGAATATACAAAAGACTATATGTAAATATTGCGTACACTTTCTTGTTTCAATACATTTTGTTCTAAGTACATTTTGTGTTGCATTATTATTCCATGCATTAGTCAAGTTTCAACACATTGAAAAGAGACCTCCAATCAATTGTTAACTGGGGCAGGAAATGGCTTGTAAATTTTAATACCTCCAGAATTAAACAGCACTCATTTAACCACCATAGAGAAAATTCTCTGTCCGCCATCAGCATGGCTGATGCTCGACTCCAGATAAGTGTCTCACAGCGCCTTCTTGGCCACACGTTTTCAAATGACTTGAAGTAGAACAACTACATTGAATCAATAGCTGCATCTACTGCAAGGAAATTTGGTTTATTGTATCGTGTCAGAAGATTTTTCTCATCAGAATTCATCTTGCACAAATCTACCATTCGTCCGTTGAACACTGTTGCCATATCTGGTCTGGTGTCCCTGCTATTCATCTCGAGGGGTTCTTGACAAAATCCAAAGAAGGATCTGCAATCTAATCGGTCCTGGCTTGGCATCTCGGGTTCAGTCATGTTCTCAGAGATGTGATGTAGCTTCCCTCTATGTTTTCTCCCAATACTTTCATGGCAACTAGTCTGATGAGCTTTTTCCCCGGTGCTCCAACTACATGAATTTAAGCGTGCTACTGGGTTGGCATCTAGGTCCCACCCTTTTACTGTTGAAATAGTTAAATATAAACGCCACTTTTACCCCAACAGTCTCTTTTCTCGCACTTCCCGACAGTGGGACCCCCTTCCATTTACTTGTTTTTCTGATAACTATAATCTTCAAAAATATAAATGCAACGTCAACTGCCATCTTCTGTTGACTTGAAGCCCGTTCATCTTTTATTCCTTCCTCAAATCATTCCCTATACACAGTATTTTCTTTCACTTTCACTCTTTGTAACTCCCTGCATACTAGTGGCACTCCCGTCTTACTTGGCTATAAAAAATAAAGCGATTACATAGACAAACATACAGAGAGGCAAATATCCAGCTAGATCTGTGGTTCACAAACAATTTTACACATGGACTAATTTTACTCTTGATTCATTTTTGTTGGATCACAATAAATATATATATATATATATATATATATATATATATATATATATATATATATATATATATATATATAACCGCTCGTTGAGAAAAGCTTATTTTGCTTTTTGCTAATAGATAAGTTGAGGAATCTTTATATAATTTTTCTTCATATATATATAATCCTGCCCATATATTTTCTTCTCGGTTTTAATTTACCTTTTACAATCTAAACATACGGTAGATCAAAAGGGACGAAAACTTACATGGCTTGATCTCGTTTTCTGCTAGTTTTACAGTTGTTTTTCTATTTTTAATAATTTAACAGTACTTTAATATGGCGTAGATTATTGTAGAAATTTCAGTTTGCAGTTGTAACAAACCTTCCGATGTGAAATTGCTCTACGGAGCACTATAATATTATTGTGGACCCCCAATATGCTATATTTTTGTTTCTGTGGACCCCCAGTAATGTTACATGGACCTCGATGGTCCATATGGACTCCGGTTGAGAACTACTGCGCTAGACAGATAGCTAGATAGCTAGATATGTACAAACATACTTAAATATGAACTGTCTTAAAATTGAAGAGATTATATATATATATGTATCAATAAAAAAAGTGTATAAACATATAAATGTCTTAAAAATAATTGTCGGACTTTGTCCATTTCACACACACACACACACACATATATATATATATATATATATATATATATATATATATATATATATATATATATATATATATATATATAGAGAGAGAGAGAGAGAGAGAGAAGTGAAAGGGATATATATATATATATAGATAGATAGATAGATAGATAGATAGATAGATAGATAGAGATGATATGAACAAGCT